TGGGACATACTACAGATATTAAAATAACATAAGATACTATGAAAAACTTTGTTAATAAATATGAAAATGTAAAGTAAGCAATTTGTTAGAAAAACATTGTCTTAAACTAAAACACTTTTAGTTTCAGAAACATTGTCATAAACTGAAATTAAAAATCTGAATAGCATTAAGCTATTTAATGTGTAAATAAAAACTTTTTCATAAAAACTCAAGGTACAGACTGTTTCTTTGGTGAATTCTAACAAATGTGTAAAGAAGAAATAATGATCAGTCTTACATAAAATCTTCCTAGGACAAGAAAACAATGGAGTCCTTCACGAGGCCAGTAAAACCTGACATGTTTCTATTACAGAAGAAAAATAATAAATCAACCTTACTAACAAACATAGATACAAACCCTTAAACAAAAATTTAATACACGGCATTTAGTAATACATAAAAAGACCAATACATCCTGATTAGGTTGGGTGTATGACAGCATTGCAAAGTTAGTTGAACAGTGGAAAATCAACATATGCAATTTACCATACTAACAAAACAAAGGAGAAAACCATATAATCATCTCAAAAGATGCAGGAAAAAAATATTTGCTAAAACTAAAAATCTAGATTTGAAGGGGGAGTTGCTTAATCTGCTATAAGGTTTATTTAAAAAAAAGTAATCTACTATAAGGTTTATTTCAAACAATGGTGAAATGTTGTGAAATTTCCCTTTGAAATCAGGAACAAGATAAGGGGGCTATCATTGCAACGTCTACTCAACACTATACTGGAGATGTGCCTGGAGGTCCTAGTCAGCTGGGTAAGGCAAGAAAAAAAAAAAAGTACTGTACAGGTCTGTAAAGGAAGAAAAAAAAAAGTACAAGAATTGTTAAGACAGAAATCAACTGTTATTATTCAGTGTTATATAACTGCATGTAGAAAATCTAAAAGAATATGCATATAATAGTTAAAGCAGCATCTTACTAGCATAAGGTAGATAAACAGATCAATGGAATAGAACAGAGGCTCCAGAAAAAGACTATGGCTATATGAACACCTGATTTTTTACAAAGGTGACAATGCAGAGTAAGATCTTTTTAACAGGTAGTACTGAGGCAATTGGATATTCATATGGAGACAAAAAGAAACCTGATCTACACCATAAGCAAAAACCAATTTCAGGTAAACTGTAGGCATAAATGTGAAAGGAAAAATAGAGCTTCTAGATGGTAAAATAGGAGATATAACACATTCACAAATAATGATATACATAGGTCCTATGCATACTCAATGGCCTACCAATTCCACTCTTCGGTGTGTACTCAACAAAAATTCTACCTAAAGACATATGCAAAAATGTTCATATTAACTTCATCCACAAAATGGAAATGACTTGATATCCATTAATCATAGAATAGATGAACCTTGATATGTACATTAAATAGGATACTATACAGCAAAAAAATGAATGTACTACAACTACACACAATAATACGTATGAATTTCATAAACACAATGTTAAGTGAAAAGAAACCAGATACAAAAAACATACTTTAAGATTCCATTTATGCTGAAACCGGTTTGGCTCAGTGGTAGAGCGTTGGTCTGTGGACTGAAACATCCCAGGTTTGATTCTGGTACAAGGGCATGTACATTGGATGCAGGCACATCCCGGTAGGGGGTGTGCAAGAGGCAGCTGGTCGATGTTTCTCTCTCATCGATGTTTTTAGCTCTCTATCTCTCTCCCTTCCTCTCTGTAAAAAATAAAAAAAAATAAAAATAAAAGATTCCATTTATATAAATGCAAACAAAGAAATAAAGAACGCAGGCTCAATCATTAAAACTAGAAAGAAAAACAAGAAAAATGCATATCATAAAACTCAGGACAGTGATTACCTTTGCTTCATATTAGAAGAGAGTACTATCATAAATGCAAATAAAGGTTACTTCATTTAAAATTTGAGATGTTATTGGTTCATCACATGGTCTGTGCATGTGGTCAGTTCTGCATTGGATCTAGATTATTATTGTCCACATGTTCCCAAGACTCAGAACAGGTTCATTGATGCCCCCCTGAATAGTATATTCACTGTGATTTTGCTTTTGTGGGAATCACAAGCATCTCAAAGGACCATGCTTCAAGTGAAACATTTGTTCCTCTTAAGTAGCATGAAATAAATTTCAGGTTACTCTCTTGGGCTTTGCCCTAGTAAGAAGAAAGGGTAGGAAAGTCTTCACCAAGGTCAACTACATCACACTTATCCTACCTAATCCTATATAATAAAAGCTTAATATACCGTCGGTCGTCTGATTGGCCATTCAACCAATCAAAATGTAATATGCTAATGATATGCTAAGGCTGCTCAACTGCTTGTTATGATGTGCACTGACTACCAGGGGCAGATGCTCCGACCAGTAGGTTAGCTTGCTGCTGGGGTCCAGCCAATTAGGATTGAGAGAGCCGGGCTGGACACGCCCTGGAGTGCTCATGCAGTCCCTGCCCTGCTGGCCAACCTTCTGTGTCGCTCCCTAGTCCTTCAGCCTGGACTGCACCCTCTTGCAATCCAGGACCCCTTGAGGAATGTCAAAGAGCCAATTTCATCCCGATCCTGCAGGCCAGGCCAAGGGACCCCTCTGGTGCACAAATTCGTGCACTGGGTCTCTAGTAGTATAATACCGTGTTTCCCCGAATATAAGACATCCTCTGAAAATAAGACCTACTTACAGGTTTCCTTCTGAGTGAAATATAAGGCATCCCCTGAAAATAAGGCCCCCCCTTAGGCTAAACATGAGAGATTTGGTCCACTGATTCTGAAAGAAATGGAGTCACAAGAAATTCACCAGGAAATTCAGGAATTAGATTGTTATGATGATGTTCCAGAAGATGATGACATGATTGTCATTGAATAAATGAGTAAATTCTTGATACTGTAGGATTCAGTTTGTCTGATTTGTGTTGACGACTACCGTACTACTGTACCGTATACAGGTAATAAATTTCCTTTATTTTCATTTAATAATAAATGTGTACCATATTCTTCTTCATGGAAAAATAAGACACCCCCTGAAAATAAGACCTAGCGCATCTTTGGGAGCAAAAATTAATATAAGACACTGTCTTATTTTCAGGGAAACAGGGTAGTTTCCCCCCACATGTATATCTTAATTCCTAATTAGCCTGAATATACCACATAGGTGAGAAATTGGCTTAAATACTTTTGCATCTCATAGGACAAAGTAAAGAATTAGGTATATAAAACAGGCTTAAACAAAGGCTTTTACTGCCTAAATGTTTTTCATTACTCTGCACATATTTGAAACATAAATCAGTAATTTTTCCACTGGTAATTTTGGTTTATATCAAGCTTTTTATCACCCAGGAAAAAAAGAATATTTGTTATTCTATTGATATCTGAAAAATTTATAAATATGCCTCCTGAGAGTTGGCAAAAAGCATGTCCATACCTCAATTTGGACAAGACTGAAGACTCAAGTCAGTTAACTACATTCACATTTAAAGTATGCCAGTGGTGTTAGATTGAACTCTCTGGAAGTCAAGCAAAAATGGACAGACCCATCTCATTCCCCAAAGCGTTTTGGCATGAAATCTACTAATTTTACACGATTACAAGCAAAGATGCTAATTGGTGTTTTGATGCTGTTTTAGTAACATCTGGAGAGGATATGAAAACCTGATGGCCTTTCTCCACAATTTACTCCTCCTCTTGTTCCTTTTCTTCACTCCTACTCCATTTGAAATAGTCAATGGTTTCCTCTACCAAGAGTACAATGATTAGAAACAGCAGCTAACCAGGATTTGGGCTCATTGATTCCAGAGTTAGACTAGATAGTTAAGGCTGAACTACCTCTTAAGATCTGTGCAAACCAAGTCCTCCTACTACCTGAATTTTCCAGCACTAAAGCATTCTTTTGTATTAGTCATATAACTCCTCAGATGTCTTAAGTTTTTCCTAAGAGCCAGTGTTACAAAGAAGGCGGTTATTCAGAAAGGAGGCGACTTCACTCAAAGTCGCCTCCTTTCTGAATAATGGGCTCAAAATCCTTATGGCAACCCTTTCTCTTACCATTCCCAAGACATTATGCACATTGTGCAGAAAGAAACTTTAATTCTGATGGTCAAGTCCGAAATCTAATCCACTGCTGAAACGGTTAGGGAGAACTGTCCTTTGAGATGCCCCCAATTTCACCAAGTGTCGGTTTCCAGAAATAAGGTCAATCTGTAGATAAGCAAGAAGTTTGGAAACAGTGTTGGGTGATTTTAAAAATAAAAAAAACCCTGTAGCAATAAAAAACCTGTCTGGCAGAAATGGAAAGAGACCATAGGTTGTAACTCAGCTTTAGCATTTACTAGCTGCAAGACTGACCTTGGAAGAATGAGTGTCTCTGGGGCTTGAGTTTTCTCTACTATAAAATGTGGATTACTCAAGCACAGTGGGAGGCGCGAAGTAGGCGATGAGAGCGTGACAGCTATCACTGGTTATGGGGAAGGAATCCGTTTTGAGTTCCTGTAGTGATTCTGCAGGGAGTGAGGGCAGAAGGGGAGCAGTATTATTAGCGTGTTCAGGGAAAGGATGCAGCCGGTTCTGTCAGGTCCAGTAGCACCGCCCACGCCTCTTGATCCAAGGCTTCTGCCCCCAAATCCCGAGGCCCAGGCCACCACCTTGGGTACTAAGGCAACTCGGGGGGGGGGGGTGTGTGTGCGTTTGTGGTTGGGGTCCCGTCCCAGCACAGCTCAGCTGGGCCAGGCAGGGGGGTAGTTCAAACTCACCTGCCGGGCAGGTGCACCCCGTCCCAGGCGTGGCCGCGAAGGCGGGGTGGGGCGGGGCGGGGTGGGCGGGAGCGGAGAATGTAAAGCTCCAGGCGCACGGCGCCCGCCGCCCAGTCGCCGCGCGGTGGCTGCCGGGATGCGCCGCAGCGAATGGTCGCGCCGGGCGCCGCTCTGAGTGACCTTTCACCCGCGCCCAGCGGCCCGGACGGCGGCGGCACAAGGCGGAAGCCATGGCGGAGGCGGCGGCTGCAGCGGGCGCGAGCGCGGGCTCCGGGGCTGCAGCGGACCGGCACCCGGACCGGGACCGCGCGGGGCGGAGGCTGCGGGTCCTGTCGGGCCATCTGCTGGGCCGGCCGCGGGAGGCGGTGAGCGCCCATGAGTGCAAAGCGCGGGGAGCCGCGGCGGCCGCCACGGCGGCGCCCACGGCCGCTCCCGCCGCCGCCGCCGCGCAGGAGCCGGGCGCCCTCCCCAAGAAGCGGTGAGTAGCGGCTCCGGGCGGCGGGCGCCGGGAGCAGGCCGCGCCCCGCGGGGGGGCCGGCGCGGTGGGGAGGGCGGGCGCTCCGGGGGGCGGGGGGCTCCGGCCCCTGGAGGTCCCGACCCCCCGCCTTCAGGAGAGGGGACCGGACGGGGGGCGGTGAGGACGGGGGAGGGTAAGGAGGGGAACAGACCTGAGGTCTTTTGGGGGGAGCTTTTCCGAGGACTCTTTCCCTTGGCTTCGTAATGCCAGGAATTCCTTCTCTGTCTTGAACTAATAATAATACTTTCGGTGGGGAGGTGGGGGGGGCGGCGGCGAGATCTTGGGATGGATGGAAGGGGTTCTCTTTTGAGTCGTGGAGGAGTGTTAAGTGTGTCCTGGGTGGGGAATCCCCCCTAACTGGCGCCGGGGAGATGCGCTGGTTCTGGGGGAAGGAGGCGCTGGCTGGTTTTTTGCTTAGGGGCAGGGTCTTCTGCTTGGAGGGAAGGAACCTGGGGGTGGGGTGGGTAAGAAGTCAGTGAACTTCAGATACTACGTAGTGATTTTAGGGTGTGTGGTGTGATGGTAGTTACTGAAGCGGAAAGATCTTAACTTGCTTCTTTTTTGGAGAAATCCTAAAGCCCCGATGAAATGTGACTTTGTCAGCATGGATAAACTTAGGGGGGAGGGGGGGGATGCTGCTAATGATTGTGTGCTTTCCCTGTGCCAGATATTGTGATTATATATATATATATATATATATATATATATATATATATTTTTTTTTTTTTACTCTTGTCTCCAAACAATGAGATAGGTGTAGTTATCTACCATTTTCCAGATGAAGAAATTAAAAAGATTTACAGGCTGCTGCAGGCTTGACAGATGAACCGTGTGGCAGGTTAGAATGCGAAAGCACATCAAATTAACTTTAGGGTCAAGTTTTTAAGCTATACTGCTGTTGGTGAATTTATTAATTCATCATTTATTGAGTCCTTCCTTAATACATACCGATTGTACTAGAAACACAGAAATTTAAAAATGCACTGTTTGCTTTTAAGGAACTAATAGTCTTGTCAGATAAAGTTGTATAATACAGTCTGATAAGAGACTGGCTGCTAATCATAGCAAATGATCACTTAACCCAGTTTTGGATATGTATTTGTTAGGGGAAAGGCTTTCCAGAATAAGGGTCGAATGAGTAAATCTTGAAAATTGTGTTGGAAGTACCCTGCCAACGGAGAAAAGTGTTCTTGGCAGAAAAAGTGCTTTCACAGATAAAGCAGTGAGGCAGGTTAGAGAGCTGCTGGGATTGAAGAAAAGGGTGAGAACCACAGGGGATGAGGGCTGGAGAGACTGGGTCTTATTTGCACCACTGTATGTGAGATAAAACATTCCATTTGCCTTCTGGAAAGGAAACATTGGGGACTGAATGGAAGAAGGTTAAGGATATGGGAACATAGACCTGCGTTTGAATTTCCACTACACTTCCAGCTGCATGACTTAGGCAAGTCACTTACTTCTCCAAGTTCCTGTCTCCCCATCTGTGAAAATGAAGCCCAAAGTTCCTGGTTGGAAGTTTGCTGTGAGAACAGAAAAATGTGGGGTTCAGGGAATCAAGTGCTTAATGCAGTGCTGGTTACATAACCCCTCAACAAATGGTAGATGCAATTTTCTTTCAGTTCAGAGACAGGGAGACCAATTAAGAGACTTTTATCCTAATGAGAAATACTACTTGAAAAAAAATAATAGGAGGTAAATTTTTCATAACTTGGTTACTGAATGGTGGGGGATGTGGAGGGATCAAGGATCATATCTTGGCTTCTGGCTTCACTTGATATTATATTAGGTATCAGTGGGTTTAAAACTTAAGTGTTCCAAATGGCTTTTTGCACATTTGTCTGTTCATTCACATACAGCTACGTGTGATTATATATTTACATGCAGGTTCACACTCTTAGAACTAAGTAAGTAGGTCAGGTGTATTCCAATGGTTGGATTTAGGGACCTTGGGCTACAGTATATGGAGCAAAATAGTAAGTCTTCTTGTAAGTTACATTAGGATAATGAGTGAGGCTTCTATGGATGAAGATGATTGGTCTGGGGTCCCTGTGTGGCGACGCTATGGTTTGAAGGCACAGCTATACACCATTGATGGCATAGACTAATTACAAAGGGTAGAAAATTCTATCAGGTCTTTGATTTAGGATTAGGTAAAATCTAGTCCTAAACAACTGTTTTGAAGTGTGAATCAAAATATAAGGGAACACAAAAATTTGTATTAAATGGAACATAAAAAGCTTCCTCAGGGAGTGACCTATCCTATATAATAATCCTGTATAATAAAGAGGTAATATGCAAATTGACCATCACACCCTCAGACAAGATGGCTACCTTCATGTGGTCACAAGATAGCCGCCCCCATGTGGTCACAAGATGGTTGTTGTGATCAGGCCAGCAGGGGAGGGCAGTTGGGGGCAACCGGGCCAGCAGGGGAGGGCAGTTAAGGGTGACCGGGCCAGCAGGGGAGGGCAGTTGGGGGGACCAGGCCTGCAGGGGAGGGCAGTTAGGGACTACCAGGCTGGCAGGAGAGGGCAGTTGGGGGGTGACTAGGCTGACAGGGGAGGGCAGTTGGGAGCAATGGAACTGGCAGGGGAGCACATTCCAGGCATTGATAAGGCTGGCAGGGGAGTGGTTAGGGTGTGATCAGGCTGGCAGGCAGAAGTGGTTGGGGGCAATCAGGCAGGCAGGCAGGCGAGCAGTTAGGAACCAGCAGTCCTGGATTGTGAGAGGGATGTCTGACTGCTGGTTTAGGCCCGATCCCTATGGGCCTAAACGGGCAGTCAGACATCCTCTGAGGGGTCTCAGATTGGAGAGGGTGTAGGCTGGGCTGAGGGACACAAACACACACACACACACACACACACACCCTCCCACCCCAGTGCACAAAATTTGTTAATACTAGTTTAATATATTGTTCATGTGGAATCCAGATTTTCCTTTCCTTTAAGAAAGACAAATGATTGAGTGAGAAGGAACCAGCAGGCATATCTAATAAAGTGAGTGTGACTGTATGTTAGTTGTTTTGGAATTTTTTGGTGATGTATGTTCTTTGTGTAACTTCTCTTTTATTACCTTGGATGATGTTATTGGTTGTAACTCTTTTTATCTCGGTTTGGTTATCGTCATGGAATTGGAGGAGTGACTTCTTGAATGTTTTCATTCCTCTTACATTATAACTCTGCTTATGTTAATTTACGCAGTATTTATGAGTAGTTGCTTTATGACATGCATTGTCCTGGATATGGGACGTAAAGAGATAAACAATAGGCCTTGTCCTGAAAGAATTTACAGTCTAGCAGGGGAAATACACATGTTGGTTGGAACCACTGTAGATACAGGTACAGATGTAGAAAAAAGGAAAAAAAGTGATATACTCTGTATAGGAGGTCAAGGGGAGCTTTCCGGAGATGGTTTTAAAATATGGATGATTTTAAAAACTAAAGTGTGGCCGGGACCGGTTTGGCTCAATGGATAGAGCGTCGGCTTGGGGACCGAAGGGTCCCGGGTTCGATTCCGGTCAAGGGCATGTACCTTGGTTGCGGGCACATCTCCAGTGGGGGGTGTGCAAGAGGCAGCTGGTCGATGACTCTCTCTCATCGATGTTTCTGACTCTCTATCTCTCTCCCTTCCTCTCTGTACAAAATCAATAAAATATATTTTTTAAAAAAATAAAAAAATAAAAACTAAAGTGTGGCAGATTGATTGAATGGTGGGCGAGTTTGTATCAGGCAAAGGAAATAAATAGCATATTGCAAAGCAAAGAGGCATGAAAGTGCATATTGTATTTAGGTACTCAACAATTTAGTCTAGGCAGAAGTGGGAGTAAAGTGAAAAGAGGAGGGCCTCTGGCAGGTCATGAGGCCTCTGTCCTGTAGGTCATCATTCATTCATTCACTCATTCATGCATGCATGCTTGCGTGCTTACTATGCAATATATAGCACTGAACAAAAACTCTGCCCTTATGGATTTATATTCTAGTTCAGCGGTCGCCAACCTTTCAGACCTCATGGACCACCAGTGATTTGTGGACCACTGTTCTAGTTGGAGTGGAGATAGTGAACAAACAAGTAATATAGTACTCTCTACCAGATGGTATTAAATGTAATGAGGAAAAATGAAGTGGCTGAAGGGACTAAAGGAATTGAGTCGGAAAGGAACATTATCAAATTGGGTTTGGGTTTGAGAGAAATCACTCCAGCTCAGTGTTAAGAATGGGTTGGAGAAGGATGAGGAAGAACATAGGTAGATAAGTTAGGGTAGGCTGTTATTGAAGAACAGGTGAGAAATAATGAAGGATTAAACTAAGGGGATGGCAATAAGAATATTTGGAAGGTATTGCATTAAGTGCTACTAAAAATTATGTCACTAAATGCCATGGGGGTTTGGAGATGGTGAAAATAGAAAAGAGATGACAGAGTCGTGAGGAATGTGGACACAACAGGGTTGACTGGTGAAATCAACTCACATGGTTTCCTATGAGTTGATTTTAATTACTTCTGTCTAGGAACTCATATTTTTATTTGAAGGGGTGATGGTTTACTTTTAGGCTCTCAGTTTTTCTTTAAGTGCACGTTACTCCATAAATGGTTTTATTATGATCTTGCTTCTGAATGCAGTTTTAGTTTCTTAAAAATCATAGTAGATGTCAGTTAAGTATGACATTTTTATGCCTTGGTTTTGGGTTTCCTTAGTTTTTTTTTGTTTGCTTGTTTTGTTTTTTAAGTTATTGTAATGTTATGACAAAAATAAGAAAAAAAATTCTTTATTGATGTCCATTGAATTTGTAAACACAGTGATCTTAAAGTCTTTGCAGTTTTCAAATGTTATTTCTAAATTTATAGGTGTTCAGCTTAAAATCACAATTGATATTATAACTCAGTTTCATATTTTAAATTTGTTACAAGTCAGCCATTTTTACAGACCAGATTCTTTTAAATTTTGTAAGTATATAAAAGATCAT